GACACAGCGCCTTGCTGTATAATTTAGGCTGGCCTTGAATTTAGAGCAATTCTCCTGTTTCAGCCTCTGAGTGCTGGGATTATAGGTGTGTGACACCAAACCAGCTCTGCCTCCAACTTTCTTCAGGAAAAGTATTTTCTTTGGGGGGTAGGAAAATTTATCTTTCTTTCTTTTTTGTGTGTGTGTATTTCTGTGTGTTCTTGCTGTTAGAATGTAGGCTACATCGTGACAAGGATTTATGCATTACTTTATGTCAAACATGAGAATATTGATTGTCACTTAATATGAGTTAAGTGATTGAATTTTATAGATAAGTAAATAGAAATTCAGTCAACTTGAGGAACTTGCTTAGGTTTATGTCTACAAAAAATGTTTGTCTTTTGATCACCAAAGCATATGATTTTTCATTAGAACCATGCCTTTTAAAAGATACTCAAGAGCTGTCTAAATCATTTTCTTTCTCCTTTATGCAGTAAGATTAGTCCTTCATCTTGATGATTTTCTTCCGTTAGCTTTCTGTTGCTGAGAAAAACAGTGTAAGGGAAGATTTATTTTGGCTCTCAGGCACAGAGGTTTCAGCCCATTGTCCCTTGCCTCCATTCCCTCTGGTGAGGCCATCAGCAAGGCAGAGAACATAGAGCAAAGCCACTTACCTCATTATAAGTGAGCCAGGGAGACAGGGTAGGGACAAGGTATAGTCCTAACAGACCACATCCTAGGTCTCCATCATCTCCCCACAGCCCAGCAAAATACGGGCGCCCACACGGGGAATAGGCACTGGTGAGATCAGAACCTTCCTGGTGTAATCACTCACCAGAAGCTCTACATCTGAAACAGTGCTACACTGGGGACCCAGCCTTCAATACCTGAGCCTCTGGGGGACATTTTTATCCAAACCGTAGGTCCTTCAACCCATTCTTTCACCTTTGATCCTTTAGCAGCCAGTATGTAGTAGGAGTGGGTTCACTGCCTAAGAGATTTGAGTGGGCTTACCGCCCAAGTGATGTGGGAGTCTTCCCCCAAAAGATCTGAGCCTGCTGTCGTCAGAAGGAAACTTTCACAAACTGTTGTATTAAAAGAAAACTAGTGAATAATTGTACTGATATTATTATCAGTGCTTCAAAAATACTTAGGCTTTTCTCTCTGCTTGGTTGGTACATTTTGCATTTCATATGAGGATGCTATTCAGCTTGATAATAGGCCTTTATCATAGTTTTTTTTTTTTGAAAGTTGACATATGCAGAAATGGAGTAAATTGGAGTAAATTGTAATTATTCTTTTCTGCTACTTTGAATGCGTTTGGAAATGATAATCATAATTTTTTTTCCTTCCCATGAATGCTTCTGGAATTGAGAATCATATTAAACTGAATACTGAGATGTTATGGATGAGGGCAAAGGAGGGAATTTTTCTTGGTGTCTTGGAAGTGCAGACAGCCCTCCAGGAAGAGAAACATAGTCCTTCTTTTCAGTATTATCTGTCCTGAGTGCTGTGTTCTTTGGTGATGGAACTTACCCTTTAATTTTAACTTAATCAAATTAGTGGCATCCTCTTTGAATGAGTTAACAAAAAACTATTTACAAAACTTTTCATTCAGATAGCTTTGGCTATGAATGCACAGGTGTTTTTAACTCATTGGGAAATCCTTGCCTTTGGTGATTTTAATACTAAAGGTAGTTTGCAAAAGTAACTATGTTTGTATTTTATAGTTCACAGAAAGAACTAATACCCTGCATTCTGCCAGAAATCTTCTAACCAGCAGTTTTGCTTAGCTCAAAAATGATTTATAGTTGGCCTTGATCACCACCGATGCCCAACAGTGTTTGTCCATCCCCCTTTTATGAGAAACGTGTTGTTCAGAGCCTGTTCTTTCTGTATCTGTCTTATGTTGCCCACAGATTGCTGAGTCCTCAAGAATAAGGGTGAGCACTTACTTGTATCCATATCTTTGAAAGAGCTGGTGCTAGGTGTTTAATGATGAAATGTCTGAATGAATCTGTTAAGGGGAGCATAGGTTTCTCAATTGTTGAATTGTGATGTTTCAGTAGAGTATGTATGTCTGCACCCTAAGACCCCCATCATCATGATAGCAAGGATTCAACGTAGGACCTCCATGCTGAGCTGTATCTTCAGTCCTTTAAGTTTTTTTTTTCTTTCAAAGTTTGAGGTGGGCTCTTGCTGTTTATGTTAAGTTGCCTAGGCTGGGCTTGTATTTGTGATTCTACTGCCTTAGCCTCAAGAGTGCTGAGATTGCAGGCCTGTGTCACCATGCGCAGCTGATAGTCTCTCTGTTCTATACTTCCAGCAGCTCTGGATATGTTTTCTCTTCCATACTCAACCAAACTGAGTCCTGGTGTATTAAAGTGTTTGGGCAATCTGACCAAATGAGAGAATCTCTACTTTGAATCCTTTCCCTGTACTTTAGAAACCAGGGAGATTTTACCCTTACTGTGGAACATTTAGAGCTTGTCAAATGGCACAGTCCATGGTCAGACATAATGACACCATGCCCATCCCCCTGTAAAATAAAGCTCTTGCCTGTAAATTGGGAGTTTTACTAGGACTTTTGGAGTATGAAATGAAGTAAAGTATGTGAAAGTGGTTAGGTTGAAGTTGTCTTACAAATAGGGCGAAGGTGAGTTATCCAAACCTGAACTTGATTTATATATATACAGTTTGCTTTAATTTGTTTTGTCTTCTTTTTTCAGTTATTTGTACTTTTCTCTTTTTAATTTCTTATACATTTCTTTCATTTTTACTTCCTTCTTCCAATTTCACATGCATAAATATGGTAATATGAATAATTGGTTGGAAGATAACACTATGTTTAATAATTGGTTGGAAGACAACACTTTTACAACAAATACTGTGAAACTCATATTACTTTGTTAAGTGAAATTCTGTACCACTTGTGATTTTTTTTCTAATTTGTATTCTCTTTTAAAAACAATCTATATACAGTTCTATTTTCTTATGAGAT